GACCCAGAGAACAAAAACTGGAAGACCGCACTGCAATTGAGGGCCCCAATGAGGTACTGTCATGATGTTGAGAGGAACCTGGAAGAATTGATTTTTGCACTCCCTCTCAACTGGGTACGCATTCTGCACAAGGACCACAATTGGCAGAAGGGGACAGGTGGTGGCCCCAGGAGACATTGAGAGTGTGGGCAACATGGTGGAGGTACGGGCCGAGGAGTCTTTGGTCAGCCTCCTCCACAGAGGGAAGGACAACGTCCTCTCTAGATACACCCCGGAGGCGGTGAGGTGGTGAAAGAGGGAGCGTTGCACAAAATTCGGGTGATGAGGCAAAAGGATGTATGGGTTGCGTTTCACCCAGAGACCCCTCTTGAAGAGCTCCCCTTCGACCCGGGGGAGTGGCACTGGAGACCTGCACGCCGGATGCCGACCGCTTCAGACAAACAGTTGTTTAACCTGACTGTAAAGGACACATACCGGCTGTTGTGACCAAGGTGAACTTGAGAGAGATAGTGAGGACCTGATGGCAGGCTCATCTGAATGTGGGGAATGACTCTCTTCGCCCAATCAGATGGTTTACAACCGCGAGATCCAAACCGGCGAAGTTCGCCTCACTACAATGGCAGATAGAGCATCGCTGTCTCCCCACCAACAACTGGCTGGTGGACCGCACATACCTAGAACAGAAGGGCTTGGCGCTGCCATGGTGTAAATCCTGTCCTACTACCTTCCCTTCTCGTAAGATTCTGGAAACCATAGAACATATCTTCCTACAGTGCCCAAGAGCAGTGCTAACATGGCGATGGTGGGATAGGATATGGAATCTTTGGGGACCGGGTCCACTTGGCAATGGGACTGGAGAGTGCTGCTCTGCGAGGCATGGACCTCCCCCACAGACAGCGACTTCGAGAACAATATGTTTAAGATAGGAAGGAGAGCCATCATTTGGGCTCTCTGGAGAAAACGTTGTATACATTTCATTGAAGGGGTTCAAGTAGAGGGGCAGGAAGTCACATAAATTATCTGATAGTTCATCAACCAAAGAACAACTCTAGCGGTGGCAAAAAGTTGAAAGCCAATTAGAGTTGTACCACTTAAAAAAAGGCATTAAACAAAAAATCAACCAATTTTCAGGGGACTGGCTGGGTAGTGAAAAAGGGGGCTGGATCGCACACATTCGATGGGAGGGAGGACAAACGCAGGGGCAGGAACGTGATGTTTTCAGAAGGGACTACTGCATCTGCTTTAAAGAGTGGACCAAGGTGGACCTGGGGGTCTCGATGCGCCCACCCACATATTTCCCAGACCCCTTCCCGCCTCATCAGCTGGCAATGGTGGACATGCAATGGTACGGAGCAGCATAAGCAGATGACAATCCAACGCCAAACAGTCAGCAGATCAAGGTGGCAGGACTATGAGTGGACGGAAAAGCATGTGTCCACACAAAGCTGCCAGCCGACATTGAGTGGAACAGAGGGATCGATGGGGGGGGATGGGGTGGTAAAGCTTTTTGGGGAGGGAGGACTAGTCTCTCAGCAGCAGGTATCTGGTGTCTGGTACAGGGCGAAGAGGTTTTTTCCTGGTTCCCAACAACCTGCTCAGTCAATCCTCTGGAGGACAGAGTAATCAATGCTGGCAGGTGTCTTTCTCAATCATATTCCCTGACATTTGCCGGATTCGTTCTGTGTATAAGGGACGCTGGACCCGTTTTCCAGCAGGTGATGCTCCCCACCAATAGATGGAGCCTCTCCCC